TTCACGGAAGCTTCCAGTCTGCCTGAGAGACAGAAAAACAACACAATTCAAATACATCTCACCCAGAGAAACCAGACCCTGTAAGGGCAGGTGTCTCCTCCAGGCTGCCTTCTGGGGCCCCAGAATCTTCCTGTTAATGGTCAGTGCCATGAAACTTTCTGAACTCAGGGCTTTTATGAAGATGACAAAAGGGTGTATAGAGGTGGCTGGGCTCACTGTCACTAATAAGACTCATAACGTTTTTGATGGCAATGAACGTATGGACAGATACGCTGTGATCTGACTCCGGTTTCCCCTGGAGTCTCACAGGGCGTGTCCCAGGCATCCTGTGTCAACCAAAAAATAATGCAGGAGGCTGCAAATAAGGAAGGAGTTTATTTGGGGTCTTAAGTACTGAAATTTGGGAGACACGGATTCGGGTAACCCTGAAAGAGTGTTCAGAGGAAGAGAAAGCATCAGGGACTTAGAAAGACGAACAGCCACTAGGCTGTTAAGAGTTGCCTGGAGAGAAGTGTGATTGATTCTGACATGAGTTGGAAATTATTTGTCCTTCAGGAATCTCAAGTTGTTCTAGAGTGCGGGTCCCATAAGAAGATAGACTGTCACGTGTTATTTTAGGGTAAGGGTCCAAAAAGTGTCTTGAGTTTCTGGCAGGTGTTCTGGATGACATCATCAGGTCAAAAGGTCAGATTCCATCCAGGCTGAGACGTGCATAAGTCACACTTTCTTAATGGTCTCCTGGCTCCATTTTAGAGAGCTCTCTTAGCAATGCTGACACAATTTTGATTTTCCTTTCACACCTGCTACCCGGCAGGAAGGCTCCAGCTTATCATGCTGTCGGCCCACTTCACCAGTGCCTACTTGATGGATGACAGTGTGATGACAGGGGGGCTGGGAAACACCTGGAATCCAGGTTCCCGGTTCAGCCAGGCCCTGGCCATCTGGAGCGGCCCCAAGTTTGTGGTGGGGATTGCAGTGAGCATGCTAGCAGGCAGTCTCCTGGCTATGAGCAAACACAAGCTGCAGGCTGGATCCCCTTTTGTCCCCAGTGTTCTAATCTCAGATCCACTGCGGGAAGTACCTGAGTATGCAGGGCCAGCTCTTCTGAAGCTCCAGCCTGCTTTTTCTCCAGGTGACATTAGGGTCGTGCTTTGCCCTGGAGTAACTGGAATCACCTCTAAATCGCCTGTCTCAGCCTGGCCACCTGGTGTGAGGCCTGATCCTGGAGCACCTGTAAGACCACTCCAACCCTGCAGCACCTAGATGTGTTCCAGCCCAGCTGGGCTTCAGTTTCCGTATTTGCCATGTGTCTGTCCGGACGCGGGGGTCCAGGGAGCCTGGGGCTGTGGCCCGTGGATTGGGTCACCCGTTGCACCTGGGTAATGTGGACTGGGGCTGGGGAATTGGGGAAGGATTCCCTTACTCAGCTTTGCTGAGTCTGCCTTGTGCAGGGGCCCACGGAGTGGCTTGTGGAGGCCCAGGTTGGATGGGAAAAGGATCATGGCGTCAGGTTCCACCCCCAGCTCTCACCCTGCAGCTCAGCTGGGAGCATCGCTTTCCTGCTTTGTAAATAGGGTCTCCTGCTTTGTCAATAGGGTGAGATCCCCTTTCACAAGGTCACCATCATGTCCAGGCCTGGGCTGGGAGGCTACTGCTAGGTTTTGACCCTTTCTTCCTCAAATAAATGTATTGGTGGTGATTTGGGAAAAAAAAATCACGGTGATAACAATGGCTGATGTATGGAGCACTTATTACCTGCCAGGTCCTGCACCCCGTGATAATTATCTTAATTAAGCTTCACCATCACCTAATGAGACAGGTAATATTACTATCCCCATTTTACAGATGAGGAAACTGAGACTTAGAGAAGTTCAATAATACACGGTTCAGAAGTACACAAAAATTACAGTGCATGTGAGTCTTTAATTTTGTTCTTTGTCTCTGTTTGGCATGGAATTTATACTTGTTATAGGGTATGGCTGTATCACTATGGAAGGCTGCACCCGAGTGATGCTGCAGCTCTGAATCTCAACCCTGCTGTGCACTGGCCCATGCTCATGCCCAGGCCCTACCCCAGACCAATTAAATGAGAACCTGGGGGCATAAGGGAGTGGGCTAATTCTAATATGCAGCCAGGATTGAGAGCGAGAACGCTCAATCAGTATCTGGGTACTTGTTCAAATGCTGGGGTTCTCTGGGGTGCTGTGGACTTGGGACAGGGGATGGGGAGCGTGAAGTAAAACAGCTTCTCCACTTGTCTAGGAAAACAGCCACCATATAACGCCATTAAATACCTCTCTTTGGGACCGAATGTGGTGGGGATAGAAACAGCGTGACAAATGGCTCACGGAAGGAGGCGAACAGGTCTCTCTGCTTTGGGGATGGTGGGGGGCTGGGAAGAAGCTGGAACTGGGAGTGTCTGTGGCTCCTGCCTTTGAGTTGTCATTTTGGAAAGCTGCCTGCTGTTCAAGGGAAGCCCCTCCACCCTGGGTGTGGCCTCATGAGCTAAGCCATAAGCTCCATGAGAGCAGGGACTCAGAAGACCCTACCCAAATGCTAGACATCATTAGCCTTATGGAGGAAATTTACAAAAACACCTACCGATACATTCTCTCATTTGATCCTCACCACACCCTCAAGATAGACATGATTATCCACCATTTTACACATGGTGAAACTGAGGCCCAGAGAGGTAAGGGGACTTGCCCAAGACCACACAGCTACTTAGTGGCAGGGGAGGGACTAGAACACATCTGATACCCAATCCAGGGCTCTTTCTATTTCAATATCCCCTGACATCAAGCAAAAGGTCAATAAATATTTAATTAGTCACGTGATTGAACTAGGTCCTGGGTCCCCTCAGGGAGCTTTCTGGATGACCACTGCCTTCCTCAGTCCCGTTCCTCCCTGCACGGGCACAGCTGGACTAGGCAGAGGGAAGCTTCCTACCCTGGGAAGCGTGTGGCTATTAATACCCTTTCCTCGACCAAACGACACACAGCACACCTGTCTTTGGTCATAAAATCATGCTGCTCTTTGAAAAGGAAGAAAGAAAGAAAACCTTTTTCTATTACTTATCTCTGGGGAGGCGCCCAATCCCCTCCCCCACTGCACTGGCTCTGCACAACACCAAGAAATATTTCTTCTGGTTTGTTATAAATTTACTATCCGGTAATTTTTCTCTTCTCATTTTATGTGACAGGCAACTGAGCGATTGTCTCCCAACCCTTTTTCTGAATCTCAGCCACCCCCATAAATTGCCGCTGTCACCTCCTCTCCAGTCCTAAAAGGAAAAACACTCACCCCAGCTTTGGTGGCCTTTGCTGGGGGCTGGCTTGTCTCCTCGAGGACTTCGGACACCCACCTTTGGTCGGCAGGGGCTTCCGGCACTGCCTCAGGGCCGGAAGGCAGGCCAACCTCGTGTAAGGGGCCTGGCATCTTCCCTGAAAATTCCATAGATCTAATGAATGTCTCCCCTGTGCTCTGTGCTCTGATGCTGGGGGTGAAGGAAGAGGCAAGCATGAAGATGCGGCCATTGTTCTCCAGCACTTACTCCAGCCTAGATGGAGGGGAATTTCATGATCCATCAATCCATCAGCACACTGAATTCTCACTAGGGGCTGTGATGGCGGAACCTGAGTCCCATTCCAGCAGCTGAGTGGAGCGGGTGGTGCTAGCAATGGTAGGCGGGGAAGAGGAACCAGCCCCAGCAAAGGCAGGTGGGTAGAGCAGGAGGGGCAGTGTGGGGAGAAGGCGTGCTGGGGCCTGGACCTGGGCTGCTAAGTCAGGGCTGGACTTTGCTCAGGAAGACTGGCTCGTAGATGGTTTCTGAGAAGGGGCTATGGGAAGTTTACAAAGAGATCAGCTGCTCGGCGCCAGGAGGGCCCCAGAGTTAGGGAAGGAGTAAAAGGTTTGAGGACAGAGGGAGTCACGAGGTGGAGGTGGGGACTCTGGAGCAGGCTTGCATCACCTGCTCCCAGGGCTTGTGGCAGAAGCACGTGGGGGAAAGGAGAGGAGACATGCTGCCTGGGCTGTCCTGGGCTGCTTCTCATTTGCTGTGTGCGTGCTCCTGGCGAAAACTGAGCTTCTCTGTGCCTCCGTGTGTCCGTGTGGGGCTGTTGGGAGGATCTGACAAGTTATTACATCAAAGTGGTGTCCGGCACCGAGTAAACACTAAAGAAATGTTACAGTTTTCACCCTGGTCAACAGAAGAGGCAGCTGAAATAGGGTAAATAACCTGCCCCAAGTCACAAAACTAGTAAGGATGAGACCTTGTTCCAGTGCACGTTATCCCATTCCCGTAGCCCCGACGTAGTCCTGCAGGCGGCCATGGGAGGGCGCCCCGGGCCCGGGAGAGACTGTGGCCGCGGGACCGCTGCTTCTCTTGATACCAGGCAGGGGCGGAGTGAGACTCCTACTACGCCCCGTTTTACACCTGAGTTGCTGCACACATACCTGGTAGGAAGAACAGTGTCTCCTCACTCATAGTTCAGTGAGCTTTCAAGTAGAAATGCTAACTTTTATTTAACCAGAATATTTACCGTACCTCTTTCCCCAACTCCATTGTACTCCAGTTTGCATAGGAAAGTTTGACCAAGGTTGTTATGGCAGTAGGGATTAGGGGCCCCTTGGTAATTTGGGGTGGCTTCCGGAATGCATGGTTCAGATGGGGCTCACACCCAGCTGGGCTCCCGTGCCGTGAGGCAGCCGCCCTGTGCACAGTGGACAATTTCACCTTCCATTCACCTTCCTGCCTTCCAGGCTTTGTGGCCCTACCGGGGTGCCATGTCCACTGTTGGGGCAGGTTAGGTTTTCCCAGGGGCTGGTCCAAGGTGGGGAGAGAGGTTGTGCAGGTGGGGTATGGAGAGTGGACCCAGCACCCTGTCGTGGTTTCCTTGACCCTTCAGGGGACCCCTGCCTCCCCGCCCCCCGCCCCCGGGGGTTGTGAGGGCATGTTCCGTCACCTGAGCCTGACTGACCAATCTCATCTCTCGACACAGCGGCACAGAGCTTTGGCCTGCTCGATCCTAAACTATGCTACCTGTTGGATGGGATCCTCTTCATCTACGGTGTCATTGTCACTGCCCTGTTCCTGAGAGCGAAGGTGGGTACCACTGGGTTCTGGGGGGAGGGCATGGGCTCCCCAGCTCGGTGGATGTTCAGAGGGCCTTGGTGCTGGGAAGTCTCAAGCGTGGGTGGTACCTGAGTCTTGGTGTACATGGGCAAAGCAGGGACCAGCCAAGTGTGCCCACTGCGGGGGGGGTGGGGAAGGGGGGGGATGTCTGGCTGAGTGGGACAGAGTGGGATGGTGAGCCTAGTGCTGGCCCCTTAGTGAGGAGACATAGAGATGTGTGAACATCAAAGCGTCCCAGGGCAGGGTTTCTGCTGGCAGGAAAGGGGGTTATGCTTCAGGCAGTGAAGAGCAGGGAGGTGGGGAATCTCTTTCCAGATTCTGCTGTCCAACTTCTGACCCATGCTCGGCCAGCCTTTTCTCTTCAAACCTGTTTGCTTATCAGTACGAGGGAGGGTTGGCCCAGAGCCTGGGTTTTCACCTAGTGCCCTGCAGACCCTGCATTTCTTGGAGGGGCTGGGACTGGGGGTGGCCGTGGCATGGGCAGAGGGTGGAAGGACTTCCTGAACGGAGGCCTCAGTCGTTATGACTTCCGTGCCTCAACCCATTTCTCTTTTGGATTTTGGACTTTGCAAAAGATTTTATTATAAGAAATAGTGTCTTATGGATTTTCTTAAGTTTGAGCAACGCTGCCCTAAATGATCTCTCAGGGGGTTCCCAATGCTCTGAATCTGCAAAACCGCGCAGTTTCAGCTGAGGGGCGTGAACTGAAAACAGATCGAGGCCATGCGCCCGGGGCAGGTCCTCATGACACAGTGCCACACGGAAAGCACCCTGCTGCAGAGGTCAAGTTAGAAGGTGGGACCTTGCACAGCCACCATCCTCGTCGAGGTGTCCTCCGAGCCCCTGAGAGGAAGGGGCCTGGAGAACCTCCCGGAACCCAGGGGGCGCGGCCCGCGAGCCCGGCGCTTCTGCGCACGCGCGAGGGCGAGGGCCAAAGACCGGAAGCTGCGGCTAGTGCCGCGGGCCAGGGCGGTGGCTACGCATGACCTTCGGGAGGTGTAAGGACAGTTGATCTCAGAAAAGAAGCTGCCGCGCCACCGGCTCCCGCAAGGATCCAGCCCCCCCGCAGGCAGGGCGCGCGCCGTTGGCCGTCGAGGAGCGGAGCGAGGCTGCCTGCGCAGAGAGTAACACGCTCTCTCTCCTCTTCTCCATCCAGTTCAGCAGGAGTGCCGACGTCCCCGCCTACCAGCAGGGCCAGAACCAGGTCTATAATGTAAGTCCGCCTCTCCCGTAGAGCCCGGTCTAGAGAAAGTGCAGTCCTCTGCTGGGACGTGGGGAAAACAGCGGCCGGGGCTCGGTTGTAGGTCTCGTCCGCGGCTGTCAGCCTTGCAAGTTGTTTTAACCTCCCTGGGGCTCAGTTTCCTAACCCCGAAAGCGGGGATAGTCATGGTGCCTGCCTCGGGGGGGTTCTCTGAGGATGCGGCGCGCTAGCGGTGTGATGCACGGCAAGCGCCGGCGTAGTGTAGCGCCTGCCCCTAGCGAGCCCCCGCCTGGCAGCGGTTTCGCAGGCTGGAGGGGTGGAGTGGAGGAGGAAAGTGTAGAAGCTTCCCTTTGGTGGAGAAGCGACTTCACGCCCTCCGTGCAATGGGACTTTGAATCGATGATCCACCCCCGCCGCCATGGTAATAAGTTCTTTGAGATGTTCTCCGAGATGACGGTAGCCGATGGATCTCCCAGTCCGTGCTCCTTTGTGAGCCACCGCCCAGAAGGAACTCCCAGTCCTACTGGCCGCATCCTCCTGAGCTTCTGTTTCCGGTCTCTGACGCTTTTCTCTCTGTTTCAGGAGCTTAATCTAGGACGAAGAGAGGAGTATGACGTCTTGGATAGGAGAGGGGGCCTGGACCCTGAGATGGGGGGGAAACCGGTAGGGCCTTGCTGTTTCTGTGTGTGTGTGTGTGTGTGTGTGAGTGAGTGAGTGTGTGAGGGCTCTGCTGGGCAGTGAGGAGAGGGCTTCTCAATGCCAGCGCACGCTGCCAGTACGCTGGACCCTGACGTGCGAGAGGCCTGGCCATGCAGACAGATGGGGCCCCGTTTGCCGCTGCCCCTCTCCGCCTTCGCCCTTGGCTCCCTCCTGCATCGTAAGGGGCCTCACACACATTAATGCGGCAAGCAGGCCCTTATGCCGGGCTCCCAGCAACTCTGTCCTTTTCGGCTGTAGACTCCACACCCTGTGGGGAGGGGAGCGGCTGGAGGAGGCCCGAGTGGGGTCTTAAGAGCAGAGCTCAGCCTGGGCGTGAGAGAGCGTGTCCGTGTGCACGAGGGAATCCGAGGCGTGGTATGGCTGTGAGGGCCTGTGAGTGGCAGAGCACAGCTGTGGGAGCACGAGGAGGGCACAGGCGGATGGCAGAGCCCACAGAGAGTGTGGGGAAGGGGCCTGGGGAGGGCGCTGAAACTCTCCTGGCCTGGATCCCTGTTTCCCCATCTCTAACTTCTTCCCCTCGTCTCTCCCGGCAGAGGAAGAAGAATCCCCATGAAGTCGTGTACAATGTGAGTAGAGGACGTGGCACAGTTTGCATTGGAAAGTTGGAGGGTAGGGCTGGAGGAGGGCTCTGGATGAAGGCTTTGCTCCCTTCTCCGTGGTCTTTGCCTGACTTGACCTTCACTTCCCTGGCCAAGTAGTGCCTCACCTGCTTGCTGCCTGCAGTGGCTGCTCGTAGTATGGCCCCTTGGCTTGCCTTCCTTCGGCCCCTAAGCCTGCCGCGGGAGTTCCCGGATCAGCCTGGTGGGACCTGGGGGGACAGTGAGGTCAAGCTGGGCAAGCCCCTCTGCGGGGCTGCTGTTCCTAGGGGCCGGAGGAGTGTCCTGAGTGTGGCCTCTTGTTGAAAACTTCACCATCCTGGGTGTTGATCTGGGTCTGCCACACGGGACCATCACAGAGGGTCAGCCACTGCAAAGAGAGCTACTCTCCCTCCCTCCTGCAGTTGGCCCACGCACAGCCTCGGTGTTGGCTGTGTGAAGAGACAACTTGCTCAAATAGATGCTTCTGGGGGCTCTGGGGTGAACCGTTGCATTGTCCAACGTGCGTGTCCTTTGGCTAGGACTCCACATCTTATCCTTTTGAACCTCTCTTGAGCTTCTGAGCTCAGTGCAAAGGGCTGGCAGCTCAGAGAAGATTCCAGAGGGCTGAGGAGGGGGAGAGGGGGTTGGAGCTGGTTATTGGCAGAAATGTTTGAGTCTCTGGAGCCTTGAATGTGGAACCCCCCCACCAACTGGGGAATCCAGAGGTTTCCTTTTGTAGGGGAGCCCACTGTTTGCTACATCAGTTGGTAACACCGGTGTCTCACGCCCTCTTCTTCAGGAGCTGCGCAAAGACAAGATGGCGGAGGCCTACAGTGAGATCGGGATGAAGGGCGAGGTGAGTGATGCTCTTTCTTCATTCCCAAGGATTGGGTGGTATGGGGGCTGCTCCAAAGAGTCCCATCCCTTCCTCCTATCACCTGCAAAAGCCCACGTGGTGGCTGCCAGGGGCAAAGGTTAGTCCAGCTGTCATCCATTTGATAGTATATTAGGTACTCAGAAAGTGCTGATACCCTTTTAGGATTAAAAACCAAGTTAAATACTAAGATGGTCCATGCTTTGCAAAAACAGGCCAAGTCTGTCAACGTTCATAATAATTATCAGGTGAGTAATGTGTGCCAATGTATGTTCAGCACTTAGGATGGTGGGGCCCCTTGTTCATAAATGATTAAGAATTTCCATTAGTGAGAGCAGAGCTTTGAACCCGTCTAGGTTTGATCTCCGTGTGACTGCATAGGTGGCGTGCCCACAAAGCTGGCCTGGCCAGTGCTTTACCAGGTAGATAGTCTCATTTAATTCTCACAATAACCCAATGGGAAATGTGTACCCGCCAGGCACAGGAGGTCCAACAACTTACCCAAGGTCACGTAGCTGGTGATGAGGGAGCCAGAATTTGAACGGACTCTACAGCCCGAGCTTGTACCCACGACCTAGTTGCCGTTCCCAGTGAGCATTGATGACTAGCCAAGAATTTTCTTAAAGATTTGTTTTATTGAAGTATAGTTGATTTACAATGTGTTAATTTTTTACTTTATAGCAAAGTGATTCATTTATACATATATCTCTATACTCTTTTTTCATCTTCTTTTCCGTTATGGTTCATCACAGGAGATTGAATTCAGTTCCCTGTGCTATACAGTAGGACCTTGTTTATCCATCCTATGCATACTGGTTTACGCCTGCTAATCCCAGACTCCCAGTCCTTTCCTCCCCCACCCCCTCCCCCTTGGCAGCCACAAGCCTGTTGTTCTCCACGTCTGTGTCTGTTTTGTAAATAAGTTCATTTGTATAATTTTTTTAGATTCCATATATAAGTAATATCATATAGTATTTGTCTTTCTTTGTCTGGCTTGCTTCCACGACCTGGCTATTGTAAATAGCGCTGCAGTGAACATCGGGGTCCATGTATCTTTTTGAATTATAGTTTTCTCCAGATATATGCCCAGGAGTGGGATTGCAGGATCATATGGTAACCCTGTTTTTAGTTTTTTGAGGAACCTCCATACTGTTTTTCCTAGTTATTTTTTTTGGAATGTTTTTCCAAAATTCTCAAGAATTTTGAGAGCTGCAGGGAGGCCTGTTTACTCCAAGCAGTGGCAGCGTGGCCAGCTCCAGTGCGGCCCAGATCCAGGAATCTGATGCCTCTGAGGATCTGAGTCAGGCACAGCAAACCCGGGCCCCATCAAAGCCAGGCCTCAGCTTACTCTGCGGAGGCCAAGGTCTGACCAGTGACCTGAGGACCCTTCTCTCCCGGGGCAGGGGTGCTGACTGGGAGACAGTCACCTGTGACTCTCTGGGGGTCCTCTGAGGAGGACTCTTGAGCAGGAAGGCTGCTGCTGGCTCTCTGACCTTCTAGCCTTTTCTTGTCTCACTCCACAGAACCAGCGGCGAAGAGGCAAGGGACATGATGGCCTTTACCAGGTGAGTGCTGCTGGCCCTTCTTCCCGGGGTGGCACCATCTAACCAGAGCCAAGGTCACGCTCCCTTGTTTTGCTGTTGGCAGTGCCAGCTCTTGTCAGCAGCTGGGCTGGGTGAGCCCAGGGCACCCATTCAGGCCTGTGGTGACTCTTCTGCTGGTCAGCCCCTGGGGCGGGGCTGGAATTCAACCATTCAGGCAAATGACTTGGTTCTAGTCAGGAGGCCGTGGGAGCCCCGGGGGGAACTGGGCACAGCAGACAAGCGGCAGCTGCCCAGAGGCTGTGTGGTCTTGAGCAAAGGGCAGATGGAGGCAAAGGACACCACACAAGCCATTTCCTGCCTCTTGCGCCGCTGCTCTGGGCCCTTGCAGAAGCCTTGCTCCGCCTCGTATCCTCACACCTAATAGAATGGGAAGATGGGTGAGAAGATTGAAGTAGACAAGTTAAGAAAAATAACTTTAAATAGAAAATGTAGTCAGGTGCCTAGTTTTTGCAAATCAGGGTGAATAATTATGCACACTAAGCACAGCCAACCTACTTCTCTAAAATATAATCCCCAGTGGGTTCTTACTCGGTTCTTTGTGCCTCACTGGGGCTGTTCACAGCTTGCTTGATTGACTCCAAAGTTTCAGGCTACCTGGCTTCCCTGAGTTCAGAGTGATGGCAAAAGGGCCCCCAAATTTTACTGCGTGTCACTGCTGTTGATCTGTCTCCTGGACCAGAGAGGGAGACGTTCCAGTGAGATTGGGACCAGCCTGCCTGTTCCCTGACAAAGAACATGACTGTAGTAGCATGGCCTGGGAAGGAGGCTCGGGAGGGCGGGGGCCAAGGAGCCACTCTCTCCCCCGTGACAAGTCCCGGCTTCCCGGAGGCCCGGGTGTCAGGGACAGTACGCTGTCTGGAGCAGGTCTGAGGTCTCCCCGCTGATTCCCAGCTCAGTGTCCCAGCTGGGCGACTCTCCTTCCTCTGTGGTCTGACAGGCAACTTTGTTGTAGGGCACAGTACTTGGGAAGCCGGGAGGAGGTGAGAATTTAGCTGGGAAGGAATTGCACCAAGGCCATTCCCAGTGGGACACAGGACCATCTCTGCTGCAGCTGCATGGGCCAAGGCCCCACCTGTGGCATGAGGGGACAGTTCCTGGGCCTCTGAGCTGGGCGGGAGATCACAGGCCAGGCTGCAGCAGGCGCCTGTTGGCCTCCAGGCAGGCTCATGCCCACACAGAGCTCCTGACCCCCTCTTCTGTTCTGATTTGCTTTCCCCAGGGACTCAGCACGGCCACCAAGGACACCTATGCTGCCCTCCGCATGCAGGACCTGCCCCCTCGCTAACAGCACCTGGGATTTCACCACTCACAGGCCAGACCTGCAGATGCCCAGATTGTTAAAGACACAGGATCAAGTATTTACAAACCAGTTCACTCATATTTCTCCACCACCCAAGGATTCTTCTTTATGATCGGGATGCTTCAAGTTGTAACATGTCATATCCAATTGCAAACTGTCACACAGAATTTCCTCCCTGGACACTGGCAGGGAGTGCGTCCCCCAGGCCCTGTCCTAGAGGAGCTTGCTGGGAGTGCAGCATGTTCCGGGGTTTTCTGCTTCCTGGAGGCTGTGGGCAGGCCCCGTCCCCAGTGGCTCTGGGCTCTTACCTGGGGGACGGGCACCCTCCTCCTCCAACACAGCTGAGGAGTTCAGGCTGTGTTCTGTAAAGTCGCCAGAGAAACCACAGATGTTAGCGCGTGTCCTGATGGTCTGCATTGTTCTGTCAGTATTTGAGTGGCTTCGCTCCTGCTGTAAACTTCGCTTCTGTTGTCAGCGTAGCCCATCATTCCACGGTAACTGGTGATGGGCCAGGGAGGCTGTGGTGCCTCCCTGTGAAGGCTGAGGGCACAGGGGAAGGGGGGGGGCTAGGTAGCAGCTGGTGGTGGCTGAAGAGGGGAAGCAGTGGTGGATCAGGGACGGGAGCAGGGCAGCCAGAGGCCTGGGGGCGCAGGAAGGGGCCCTCCTGCAATCAAGCATACGTTCCCCGTGATAGAACTTGAGTGCCAGGGCCTGTGGGGACCAAAACACGAAGAAGCCCAGCCTTGCCTTCCCGGAGCCCACACTCTCACAGGGAAGCGAGCTGTGAAGAGTCCGGTGTGCAAGAACACAGCAGTGTCATGGCTGACTACGAACAAGGTGAGGGGGCAGTGAGACCACATTCTTTGCAGGCACTTGGGCACCTCACACTGAGTGAAAAGACACAGCCGTATTGGGAAAGGCCTCAAAAGAAGACTCCGCTCCACTCAGACCCAGAAAGATCCCAAAGGACAATGGCACGGTGGGAAAAGCCTCAGCTGACTTACCTGGAACAGGGCTGTGTGATAAAAGGGCACACGGCTATGGATGGAAAACCCTCTTTGCTCTGCTCGGTCTTAATTTATACTGGTTTGCTAGAGCCTTACTTTTTTGCATAATAAATGCTTCAGTGAAAATGCTGCTTTACCGTAAGCTTTATTTCGGCAGTCAAGCCTGTAATGGTCATTTAGCGATCAGCCTGCTGCTGGGAGAGAACAGGATGGCTCCTTGGAAAATGCAGGAGAGCCAGGTGCATACAGTGGCCCAAACGGGCTGTGCTTGGGGCAACATGGTGTCCGGATACGCCAGGAGTCCTTATGCAGGAACCAGGAGAAGGTGATGGGGAGCTCCCTGGGTGCAGGGCTCACAGCACTGAGCTAGCTTGTGGCGTGCCGGGAAGAGCAGGAGAGAGGCCAGCTGAGCATTAGGGCATCAGGAAGAGGGAGCATCGTTGTCAGAGGGTGTCTGGGGGTTATGAACAGCTGCTGATGCCACAGCACAAAAACCTCAGTCTGGGGAATTCCCTGGCGGTCTAGTGGTTAGGGCTCTGTGCTTTCCCTGCAGGGGGCCTGGGTTCGATGCCTGGTCAGGGAAGTAAGAACCCCCCCCCCCCCCCCACCAAGCTGCAAGACACGAACGTGGCCAAGAAAACAAAAACAAAAACAGAAACCTTAGTCCGTAGGGTTTGGGGAAGGAGAGGGGACAACAGAGGTCTTTTAGGTCAGGTTCTCCCACAAAAAGTGACCCTGTCCCCAGCAGTATTTCCTCTAACTGCAGTGGCTGTTTATAAGGCCCTAACTCATCAAGCCACCAATTAATATTGGGTAAAGACTTTGAAATCAGAAAAGACTTTGAAATCGAAGGCCACGGCTATTAAAAGCCCCTGAGCATTTGGGATTCCAACAGGAGTGATGTGCATCTCTGCCAGGAGAGAAGGCATTCGATTCATATCCTGGCCCCAGAGGGGAATTCAATTCCATTCACCAAGTATTGACCTAGCACCTTCCTATTCTGTGCCCAGCGCTTGGCAAGCTACCAGGGAAGCTAGAGAAGTATCATGAGTCAGTTAGGGACTTAAAATTTTGTCATTGTATTTCATCCACACCGTGTAAAGAACTCGGCACCACAGTGCACTGTGGTGACACACACAGGACAGGCAGGTGGAAGCGGAGTGAGGGAGGGGTGAGTAGCTGCCAACGAAGGGGTGCGGACAGAGCTCGGCAAGGCATGGGGGAGCTGTGGAAGGTTTCATGGAAGGAACAGGGCTCTGAGGAGGGAGAGAAGGGCTGAAAACTATCAGCCCTAATTCTGTAACCTGGTCATGGGGCAAAGGAATGGGAAAATTACACCATGTTGTTTTAGCTGCCCTTCCACTGACTGAAGTTCACAATGACAAGTGAGAGCCTCATTGTGGCTGCTGCTGCTTTATCGTCTATTCACTGGGCATCTTATAACACGTGAAGTTGGCTTCCTCTATTAGTCAACGTTAAGCCTCAACCTCATACCTAGTTTTAAGGTCAGCTGAGTTTCACACGGGCTGTGTGACCCACATGGCTGGCCTGAAGACAAGAGTTTGACCCAATTCGATCAAGATTTTGACTCAAGAGGTAGGAGGAAAGCTGGCTGTAAGCTATGGCTGTGGGAGCTGGCCCAGGGTGGGTGGGGCAGAGGACTTACTGGGCTCCGTGCAAGACAACTACACAGAGAAGGCCACCAGGAGAGGACTCAGTGGACGTGCTGGCACAACGAAGCCCCAAATCAAGCCGAGAACGGCCCTGGTCTTCGCAGAGAGAAAAGGCTGCAGTTGGAGAATTCATACCCTCTCATGGGTAGTTCCTCTTGGTAGACACCACTGGAGTGGGTTAGAACATAACAACAACCTTTTTACAAAGGACTACAGGGTAACAGAATGGAATCAGTGCTTTTATCCTCATGCCTTAGCCTGTGACAAATGGGTTTTGCCTTCTGAAGTCCTCATGCTTGTGAGCCCGCTGCTGTCTCTACCAAACAGCCAATTCCTGTTAAAACTTGAAATTGTTTTAAGAGTAACTTTACAAACTGAAAAGCAAGTTATAAATACAAGACAGGGTGGAATGGAAAAGAGCGAGGCATTCTTTGACGTAGGAGCAGAGGAGAAAAGGACCCAGTATTTGTCTTCCCATTTTGGGCCCCTTTCAAGACAGCAGCCATACCTTGAGACCATAGCGCAAGCTTTCTCTTTCAGTCTCTCTCCGTCTGCCAATTCAAGGGGGACGCACAGACTCAGTTCATACACACTAGTTAAACAGGATGCCTCCCAGAGCTCTTCAACAAGCTGGTTTTCTCTCTGTGGGAAATTCATTTTAAGATTCAAATTTTCCCTTTTATGCAGTCAACTAATTGCATTCACACACTAAATGTTGGCTACAAGAAGCTATATAGAGGGAGCTAAGTTGTGTACCCTCAGACAGGAGAACCAGAGGGCCAAGTTCAGGATTAGCTTCCTTTCAGAGGACCCCAGAGAATGACTGTTCAGGACCTGGGAGGAAATGCTAGAGGGGCATGGGGGTCTAAACAATAAATTTGGAAAAGTCAATTTCAATGACAGTTCCGCAGTCAAATACACAGTGAGAGGGGGACCTCTGAAGAGTTCTCTCACAGATAATCAACTGATCACACAAAGCCCTGGGGGTCTGAAGGCGACCACTGCTACCAGACTCGGGGGCCCAGGAAGCCACTGGGGCCTGGGGAGAGAGCAGTGTGGTGGCCCCAGCGCCCCACGGAGCACAGGGGGAAGCGTGCCGAAGCCAGGGTACGGGTGGCGGAGGAACCAGTGTGCTTACAGTGATCCTGGGATGCCTGAGAGCACCTGCTGGAAAAAATAAGTTGGAAGGCTTAGTTGAGAAGTCTGTATGGGAATGTGTGAAGCATCCCGAATACCAACGCAACAACTTCAGAGAAACTCAAACAATGTGAAAACACTTGGAAAATGGTTTAATGATGTTTTGCAACAGAAATGAACTGTACAGTTACAGTAAGTTTAATATATATAAAAAATTACAGCAGACAAATGCATCTACACAAAATCTACCATTTTCATTCTGATTCACTGTCACCTACACAACCTCTCCCAAGCCTACAGCCCCCTGCAGGCAGCCCCAGGAGGGGGAATCATATAAAGGGCACTTTTAAAGAGACAGCACCGCTCATATTCCCCACCACCTCCTCAGGCCTCAGGAGGTATCAGCTAATTCCCCCAAATGTAAATTGCTTGTGTTTCGGGTTTTCAAAACCAAGAAAACGTGTGTCTCCCGGGGGCCCAGATAACGAGGCCCCAGACTCCCAAGTTATGGGTTGATTCTTGTAGCATGTTCCTATCCGAGGGGAAATGGCTAACCAGGCGTCTGGGACAGTGAGGCTATACAATAGCCACCAGATTGCAGAGTTATCTAAGGAGAAATGTAAAAGGACTCCCAATAAACTACTTAGGAATTGTCACTGCCTCATTAAAGCTGCTGGACAATTTTGGAAAGAATCATTTACACCACATCTTAAGTTTCCACAAAAGAGAACTCAAACTCACATTTTAAAGTTAAGTACATAAAACAAAAAGTTTTGGGAGGCCAAGGGGTCAATTCCCCCTTGTGTCCCTCCCTTGACAACAGTGGAAAAACACCCCTGAATCAATATTTAAAAAAAAAAAAAAAAAAAAAAAAGGAAGAAAAGAAAAAGGTGGGGGGAGTTAAGATATTTAAAGACAGAGAGAAAGAAAACAGCTTTAGAAAAAAACCCAAAACAACCACTGTCTCTTTAAAACAAAACAAAATCCCAGTTGGGACCGATAATCAGCAAATATTCAATCCAAATTGACCCCGGTGGAAGTTTATTACTGAATATTATGTACACTCAGAACTTTTTTGTTTTCTTTTTTATTATGAACACCTAGGCAGTGAAAACTGTTATGTTACTACATACATAGACACACCCAAAACATACAAAAATACTATTGTTTCAAACTACTAAGAATAGGACAGTTCAGTTATCTTCATGCTATGACTTTAAGAGCATTACACTGAAACAAACAAGAAGTTAAACGACATTTTTTTTTTAATATCCCAGAAATATACCAAAATATACATCTAAGCTTTGGAATTACTGAGGTTAGACTAATGCAAGTGCTGGGTAATCGTACTTAATACACAAGTCTAAGGTTCTGCAGGAAAGAAATTATCTTTGGTATCTGCATCAGGCTAATATTATTAACATTTGGATTTTGCTTTGGGATAGAGCTTGTATGACCCTAGAACCAAATCCCCCCCCTCCCCTAATCAACTGAGATTAAAAAGATCCGTGTAAAAAGTTCCTTCATTTGCACCCACCACCCCCCAAGTTAAAAAGTCACAGGCATCTACCTAGCACAAAAGGTTGTGAAATACAATGCATAGTTGCACAGTGGTGCTGCAAAAAGGAAACTACTGTAAGAAGAAATGAAAAAGCTTGATAATCCTTCTGCGTGTTTTCTCACAAACAGGACAGCCACTTCCAAGCAGTTCCAGTAAAGGAAAAGAGAGAAAAGGCTCAGAAGGGCACCTTGGCGAGTATTCACGGCACGGCCCCAGAGGTTAAAGCACCCGGCAGAGCAGCCAATCCTGCACCAGTGTCTTCAACTTCCCCCACTCTGTGGAGTCCAAGGCGCCCAGCAGCAGCCCCGGGCTCCCCGACCCTGCGCTAAGCCCCTGCAGTGACCATGGCTGTCATAGGGAGGACTATCGTGGTGATGGGCTTCTGCCTACCATTTTGGAAAATCTGAAATGCCAGTTTGTTCCATGGCACGTTCACAGGTTGGCAGGAGCCAAAGCTACCAAGCATGTGCCTCTGCACACCCTGGAACACCGGAAACAGACTCCCTGCCCTTTCAGTGCAGTCAGGGGCCCCCCCTTCCCTGCCCCGGGCCTCGCTCCTCTAAACACCAGGACGCCACAGACTGGATTGACGCTGAAGACTTCCCTTTTCTTTGGTTTTTTTGTTTGTTTTGAGTTTATACAATCATTAAAAAATCTTTGGTTTTGGCTGGAAATTTAAAAAACAAAACAAAACAAAACAAAGAAACCACCCTCCCCTGGCTTATAGCAGCAGTAGTAAGACCTGGCAAAGCTCTTTTT